TCAGCCTAGCTCACAGCAACCTCAAACTCCTGGGCTCAAGCGATCCTGCTTCCTCAGCCTCCCAGGTAGCTGGGACTACAGGCATGCACCACCATGCCCGGCTAATTTTTCCTATATATTTTTAGTTGTCCAGCTAATTTCTTTGTATTTTTAGTAGAGACAGGGTCTCGCTCTTGCTCAGGCTGGTCTCGAACTCCTGAGTTCAAACAATCCACCTGCCTTGGCCTCCCAGAGTGCTAGGATTATAGATGTGAGTCACCACGCCCGGCCTTTACTTGTGAGATGCTATCTGGGACACTGGCCATGTCCTACATCCTGGATTTTTATATAGGGAAGGATTTGTGTCCAGTGGGCCCCAGGTCCCAGTTGCAAACTGCCTCTTTGTGTGTTTCTTCCCAGCATGACTGATGGGGCCCAGCAAGCCTTGAGGAGAACCATGGAAATCTACTCTAAAACGACTCGCTTTGCCCTTGCTTGTAACGCTTCTGATAAAATCATAGGTGAGTGTGAGCTATGGGAGGCCAGGGTCCGCCTGGTGCTCACTTTGGCTCTTTAGCAGCAGAACAGGACTTTTTGACTGCCTACCACAGGTCAACCACTGTGTAACCAATTTTTTTTAATTTAATTTTTTAATTGACAAATAAAAATTATATGTATTTATCATATATAACATTACATTTTGCAATGTAATCAACTGAGGAGATTATTAGCTTCACTTTTGAGGTGAGAAAATTGGAGCTCAGAGAGTTCAAGTAGTTTGCTCAAAGTCACACAGCAAATGCAGGAGCTGGAATTGGAACCCCAGGTCTGTCCGGCTGCTGCTCTTCACGCATCCCCTTGTACTCTCTGTGTGCTCTGAGCACTTGGCATAGATGGTGTCTACACATCAGGCTTCATTATCACCAGGAATTGTCTCACTTTTGAAATCTTACAGTCTCAGAAAAAGGAATTCCTCATCGGATCAGGACAAAACGAAAGAAACAACGAAATCTTATGGTCTCCTCCCCAACCTCAGTGCTTGTCCTTCCAGCTCCCTTCCTACCTCTGTCTGTCTGCTTCCTCACTGCTTTAAGCCCAGGCCCCATCTGTAGCTTCCTGCTGGTTTCACAGCCCAGCTGTTCTGCCCTGCTGATCCCCAGCTGTGTGAGCTCCTCTGAGCGACTTCCCCCTCCCCCACAGGCCGCCGTGTGCTGTTGCAGGTGAGCACATTACCAGGCGTGATGCCCCACCAAGGTCACGGTTTCCAGCCTTGGCGGAGCTCCCGGTGTTGCTGGGAATCCTTTTTGTTCTTTTTTACCTTCCCCAGATAGCCATTTGTTTGTTCGTTAATTTATTTATCCGTTCACCAAACACTCTGTTCTTAGTAGGTGTGAGGCACCTCCCTGGTGCTGAACATGAGTTCAATGAGAAGTATTCTCTGCCTTCAAGCATGGCATACTGGAGAAAAATGCGTTACAAGTTCTTGATTTATGGATGTGTAAGTAGCTCACCTCCTTAAGCAGTGGTAAGACCAATCTTGGAGGCCAGGAGCAGTGACACAGACCTCCCTTAGCCCAGAATGCAGCTGGCAGGGGGCAGTGTGTGTATGTGTTTGTTCAGTGATTTGAAACTGCATTTGTTGATGGAGAAAGCCCTAACTTTCTTTCATTTTTTATTTTCTAAAGCGATATAGCAAACATATAAGCAAAATCCTTAAAGAAGTTTCTTTCTTCACTTTAGAGGAAACGGTTCATCATCTGGTTGCTGCAGAGTTGATTTTTTTTTTTGAGACAGAGTCTCACTCTGTTGCCCTGGCTAGAGTGAGTGCCGTGGCGTTAGCCTAGCTCACAGCAACCTCAAACTCCTGGGCTTAAGCGATCCTACTGCCTCAGCCTCTCGAGTAGCTGGGATTACAGGCATGTGCCACCATGCCCGGCTAATTTTTTTTTTCTATATATTTTTAGTTGTCCAGATAATTTCTTTCTATTTTTAGTAGAGACGGGGTCTCACTCTTGCTCAGGCTGGTCTCGAACTCCTGAGCTCAAACAATCCGCCTGCCTCGGCCTCCCAGAGTGCTAGGATTACAGGCGTGAGCCACCACGCCCGGCCAATTTTTGAAACTGTGTCCTAGAGTCACCCCAGTTAAGTGGGAGGTAAACCTTCCTGGAGCAAGGCCGTGGGGCCCGATTCTGACTCTTACTTATATTCTGCAGCGTAAGCTTTGGTGCTTCTTAAAAGAGAAAAATCCACTAAAGGAAACTTCTAATGTAGTTCAAGTATTACTTGCTTTTAGATACAACTCTAGCTTCTAAGCTTAATGTAAATAAATACGTAAATAAGGTTCAGTTGTGAAGCTTCCTGATTTCAGATAAGTTGAAAGGAACTAACTCTGAGGCAAGCTGCTCTTTTAAAAGTCTCATCCCTGCAGCAAATATTAAGCACGTTTGATACACAAAGCACCTGCCATGGGCAGGGGACACGTACATATGCCTCCTGTGTATAGTGGAGGTTGCAGGTCTGCCTGAGGCTCAGTCCCAGCCTTGCCGGAGCTCACGCAAAGTAGCAGAGGTGGAGCCCTAAATCAGCTAGTCCTGAGTCACCCTAAGTGCCCCTTTGTCTGCCTCCCACCACAGCCAGCCCCTCGCCAAAGTCAAATCCAAGGTTGTCCCCGCCTCGGTGATATCTGGAACCCCCACCCCTCCTTCCCCTGCCCCAGGTCTGTGGCTTCACCCTGTCTCCCCTTGACGGGTACATTGTTCTGGGCTTTTCTCCTGCTTCAGTCACCAGACAGCTGCCAAGGTCATCTAAGACCAGCCTGAGTCTTCCAGTCCCCCGCTTAACCCTTCAGTGGCCTCCTGTTGCCTGTACAGCTGTGCCACCCCCAGCCTGGCCCACGGGATGCCATTTGCCCGCTGTCCTTTCTCATTCCAAGCACTGTGGCCTTATGGTGCCTACCAGCCCCTAAACCCTCTTAGCCCTTTCCTTGCTCTTACCTTTGTGCTGTTCGCTGTTCCTCCTACCCTTCCAGCCTGGAAAACCTCATCCTTAAAGGCCCAGCTCACAACTTGGCTCTGCCGTGATGTCCATCTCTCCAGGCCAAATTGTCGTTCTCTGGCCTGGGTGCCAGAGCTGGCCCAGACCCTCTCCATGCACAGTTTCTATGCATTGTGCCCCTTCCTGTCCTGGTGAACCTGTGCCCTGGGGCCAGAGCCCTGTCAAGATGTTCATCTACCACATCCCCAGCTCCTAGGGAGGGGCCTGGCTCGCTTTCTGGAAATAGATTAACAGGAGTACGTGTTCTTTCAAATGGTGCGTGAGAGCAGAGGAGAGAGGGGTCGCTTCAGCCTGGGGTGATCAGGGCTGGCCACGTGAGGAGGTGGGTTTGGGAGGAGCCAAAAGATGGTTGTGATTTAAATGGGAAGAAACAGAGGGCGTCCTTGGTGGGAAGAGCCCACCAGGAGAGGGCAGAGTCAGTGTGTTGCAGGAAGGGTGCCAGACAGTGGCGAAGGAGAGGAGGGAGAACGAGGGTGCGGGAGAGTCTGCAGAGCAGGAGAGTCCTGACTGTTGGGGAGTTAGTATGAGGGGACTGTCGAAGGGTTTGCCTTGCAGGAATAGGTGACAGATGAGAACATTGTACAAAGGCAGCATGGCAGCAGTACAGAGGAAGCATCAGAGAGGCCACATTTGGGGTTGGATGTCATGGCGAAGCTATTGCAGTAGCCTATAGCAAAGGCAGAGGAGAGTTCCAGAACTCTGCATTTGTCCGTCTGGTGGTTCTCAGGCGGCCCCGTTGTAAGTCCGAACCTTCTGTGGAGTTTTAAGGAAACTGCAGGTGTCCGTTCCCACCCAGCCTGATGCATCGTGACCTGCCCAGAAGGGCCCAGTGTCCAGCGTGCGTCGTGATTCCAGAGCCCACCTGGGCCAGGGCTGACTCAGCTGAGGGCTCCTGGCACGTGGACATGTGTGTCCCAGAGGATCGTTTCCTCTTCTGGAATCCGTGGCCAGCCAAGGTCCTCCTGTGCCAGCTGAGGCCTCTGTAATAGCTTGTCAGTTGATACTTTGACATTCAGCCGTTTGTGCCAAGTGTCTCTTGAGCACATGCTGGCCGGGAAGAGTGGCACCGCCAGCGTGGCTGTTCCACGTGGATTGTGCAGCTGCACTCCAGTGACCAGAGTGCCGACAGGGTGATGCTGGCCCCTGCCAGGGGAGCCTCACTGCCTTCTGTCTCGTCCAGAGCCCATCCAGTCCCGGTGCGCCGTCCTGCGCTACACCAAGCTGACCGACGCCCAGATCCTGGCACGGCTGCTGAACGTCATCGAGAAGGAGAATGTGCCGTACACTGACGACGGCCTGGAAGCCATCATCTTCACAGCCCAGGGAGACATGAGGCAGGTAGGCGGGTCGCCGCCATCTAGGTGCGGGCCTCCTGGGCCTGCCCCGCCCCTTACGTGGGGGCAGGAGGGAAGCGACTGCTGCAGAGTATAGCCAGGGTTGGGGGGCACGGACCCAGCCCCCTCCTGGCCCGTGGGCTGCCTGCCTGGACTCCAGGAAGAGAGGCGGAAAGGCAAAGATTTAAAAACCACCCTTGACGCATTTTTGTTGCTCATCAGGCACTGAACAACTTGCAGTCCACCTTCTCGGGATTCGGCTTCATTAACAGCGAGAATGTGTTCAAGGTATGGAAGCTGCACTGGGTGCCGTCAGCAAAAGCAGCGTCTCCCTGCTGTGGCCGGCGGGGTGACGTGGGCTATGCAGGCAGGCAAGATGGACACTCAGGCCTGGCACGGGGCTGGGCCTGCCTGCGGGGGGACGGTGCTAGGGGGCCTATCCTGCCCCCATTTCCCTTCCCTGTCACTGCTTTTGCTTCTCACACTAGAGAGTTGGGAGGGATTTTGGGACGTGTGTGTGGGTGGTGGGGGGCCGCTGGTGCATGAGGTGCAGAGCTGGGTGCTTTCAGACACGTCTGTCTTGGTCCTGCACTTACTTCCCTGCCCAGAGAGGTTCCTTCCATCTCTTTGTGGGTGTGGAGATGGGCTCTGGTGGCTACTGCAGGCCATGCAGCCACTGAGGGGCAGGGAGCAGCACCGTGCGTTCCACTAAGCAGCCTTCTGAGCCCACGCCTGGGCTGCTTCTGCAACGCTGTGCCTGCTCACCCACTTCTGCCCTGCGGGTGGGGAACGATCCTCTGCAAAGCCAGGCCAGGGAAATAAGACTCTTCCCCGCCCGCATCGGGGAAGCATTTTACTTGTGGGAATTCTTTTGAAAACTGCTGCCATGTCCTGACAACTCGGTGTCTAAAACCATCTAGGAAACTGGTTTCCCCCTTATCTGGGGGTAGAAGTTGGGCAGGGCTGTCCAAGCTTTCAGTTGGTAGCTCTTTCTTACCAAGTTTATACAGACCTTGGCAGTGAACATATTTTCAAGAGCACGTAGGAAAGGGAAACCTGCTCAGTAAGCGATAGTGGTAGTTCGAGTCCTGTTTTGTCATGGAGCAGGCACTGGGGGCTCCTGCAGGGAGGGGAAGACCAGGTCGTGTGGGTGCCATCTGGCGACAGGAGAAGGCTGAGGCCGATGTGCACCAGAGGGCAGAACCTACGGCCAGTGGAGGGTGCTGCAGGGAGGTGGCCCTGGGCTCAGGGAGGGCTGAGCCCCAGCGCCACCCACCCGCCTGTTGGAGTAGCGGGACCCCCCTCTTCAGGAGGTCACACTGTCACACTGTGGCCAGGGGCGGGTGGGGGGTGGCCCTTTGCATGGAAAGGGAAAACCAGTTCCTGCTCTAGGGTTGGGGGAGGTAGGGATTGGCCCAAATGACCTCCCAGTTCCAAAGTGGGTCCCAAGTGGTTCTGGGCAGATGACACCCCTACCCCACCCCACCCCCGCCAAGTGATCTAAGACAGATGACTGGTGGCTTTAAAGCTGCTCCTGAGTGAAGATTCTTTATTGGCCCTTTTTGCTTTATTGTTACTTCTTATGTTTGAGAAATTAGCAATCATGGTGTCAGAAGTGTTTCTATTTGGTGAATTCTTTGGTGGTGAGGACATTCCCAAACCTTGTTCTGGTTGCTGAGATTTCTATGGTAACAGCCAGCAGAGAAATCGGTTGGTGGGGACCTCCCCAGCTGGTACCCCCTGACCCCCAGCCTTGACCCCCTCTCTCTTCGGTTTGCCCAGGTCTGCGACGAGCCCCACCCCCTGCTCGTGAAGGAGATGATCCAGCACTGTGTGGAGGCCAACATCGACGAGGCCTACAAGGTCGGCCCTCCCCCTTCCTCATTTGGGAGGAGGCTTCTGCCTCTTGGCCTCTTGGGCGGGGCAGAGGGAGCCCCCGGTGCCAGGGACTTTATACGAATTGTTCCACTTAACGCTTAAAATCATGCTAGGAGTTGGGTGCCTTTACAGATGGGAAAATGGCAATTCATAGAGGCCGAAATCCTTGCCCTAAATCACACTGTTTGAAAGCAGTAGACCCAGAGTTCAAATTCTGTCTTTCTGCTGTAATTATATCTTCTGCAAGAGAAATTTGTCAACCTAAGTCATGAGGAAAGACTGTCCCAACTCCTTTCCCAGTGAAGCCATCTTCCCTCTGGTGGGGGGAGGTGTCCCCATCCATCCTCCTCAGGAACATGGGAATGGGCATTCCAGGACTCAGCAGTTCCTGCTCAGCCAGAAGAGGGGCAGGAGGGTTCTAGCCCGATTATGGGGCCTGGTCCTGTGAGCAGATGCCAGCAGGCATGACTGGGGTTCAGGTGACCTCAACTCACATGAGTGGCAGTGGTGTGATTCAAGGCCATTTGGTCTGACAGGTTTCTCTCCCTTGGCCCCCAACTGACTAGGCTGGAAGTTGACCGGATTTAGGGCAGGATTTGACCTGTTGTGCCGTGGGAGTGCAAGGGAGGGAGACTGAGGCAGAGAGGCTGGGTGGGGTCCCTGAGTGAGCCTGAAAGAAGCCTTCAGATTTCGGACACAGAGCTTCCCCAGCCCCTGAACTCACCCAAGATGCCAAAGCAAAGGCAAGAAGGACTGCCTCCAGACCCTGCGGTCTGGCCGGGGCGGGTGGGGTGGGTCGTGGTGACCACTGCTGTCATCGCTGCCCTGATCAGGACATTTTCAGGGCTAGGCCTGCAGGGGGTGCCCTGTGACCTGGCCGCTGGGAAAGCTAGCAGGCGAATGGCTGTTTCTCTGCTCTGCAGTACCTAGTCATCGGATTAGTAAAGCGTTTTAAGAACTCTGGATAAAGATACTACATGGACATGGTAGTAGACCATCTTGCAATACTGTTCTAAACACTCGCAAAGTTGTCTCTGCCTGCTGGGAAAGTCAGTTAAATTACCCCACACATCTGAAGACTGTGGCCCTCCAGCTACTGCGATTCTCAAAATCACAAATCACATGAGTCGTCTGGGGCGAGCCGTCTGCTCCCCGCAGTGTGACAGGCCAAGGCCGTGTGAATGGGACTTCATTTCCCCGAGGTCCTTGTAGTTAAAAGAGTTCAACAGCCTCATTGTGTCTTTTTCTAGATTCTCGCTCACCTGTGGCATCTGGGCTATTCACCAGAAGATGTCATTGGCAACATTTTCCGGGTGTGTAAAACTTTTCAAATGGCAGAATACTTGAAACTGGAGTTTATTAAGGTCAGTGAGAGTACGGAAATGCCTCTCTCCTCGAGAAGGTGGGCCGTGGTGTGGTTTTGCTTTGCTCATAGGCCTGGCGCCTGGATGGTGCTCAGTGGGTGTTCCCCGACTGCGGTGGCGGGAGGAAGGGTGGCCGATTGCCTGGGGGCTGACAGTCCGTTCACGCAGTTCTGCCAGTCAGCAAGCTGAGTAGCCATTTATTTTTAAGGTCAGATTAATTGGGGTATAATTTACATTGAGTAAAATGTAGCCTTTTAGGTACATTCTGTTGACAAAAGCACTCAGTCTTGTAAACACTACTGCAACCAAGACACAGTCATCATTCCAGAAAAATTCATGTGCCACTTGAAGTTGACTGCCCAATACCACCTGGAAACCCCTGGTCTGTTTTTTTGTTTGGGGGACAAAATTTTCCAGAACTTAGCTTTTTTTTGAGACAATGTCCAACTCTGTTGCTCTGGCTAGAGTGCTGTGGCTGCAGCCTAGCTCACAGCAACCTCCAACTCCTGGGCTCAAGTGATCCTCCTGCCTCAGCCTCCCAAGTAGCTGGGACTACAAGCGCACGCCACGAGATATTTTTTCAACCATTTTACTTTTTCTACTCTTTGACCTAGTGAGTTAATATTCCTTTCTGACTCTTTGCTTGACTTCATTCCCATTGATTTTTTTTTTTTCTTTTTTAAGACAGAGTCTCACTCTGTCCCCCCAGCTAGAGTGCAGTGGTGTCATAGCTCACTGCAACCTCAAACTCCTGGGCTCAAGCGATCCTCCTGCCTCAGCCTCACCAGTAGCTGGGACTACAGGTGCTCGCCACCCCACCCAGCTAATTTTTCTATTTTTAGTAGAGATGGTGGTCTCGCTCTTGCTCAAGCTGGTCTCAAACTCCTGAGCTCCAGTGATCCTCCCACCTCGGCCTCCCAGAGTGCTAGGATTACAGGAGTGAGCCACCGAACCCGGCCTGAACTTAGCCTTTTGAGTCTGGCTTCCTCCACTTAGCTTAATGCCTTTCAGGTGTGTTCTGTTGCAGGTGTCAGTGGTTCACTCTTTTTGATCACTGAGTGTATTCTATGTGTGAATGCACCGTGGCTGGCTCGCCTGTTTACTAACTGAGGGACAATGGGGTTTCCAGATTTTGGTGATTATGAATAAAGCCACTGTAAACATTTGAATACATGAGGTAGTGTGAATGTGAACATAAGTTTTCATTTTTCTTGGGTGACTTCCTTTTCAGGGGCGAGATTGCTTGGTCAAATGATACGTATATGCTTAACTTTGTAAGAAACTGTCCATACTGTTTCCAAAGTGGCTGTAGTGTTTTGCCGTTCCTGCCAGATGACCCACATGCTGGCCACATGTGACATGTTCAGCTGAGTTTTTTAAACCATTCTAGCAGGTGTGTAATGGTATCTCCTTGTGGCTTTAGTTTGCATCTCCTTAATAACCAGCGATGTCCAGCATTTTTTATTTGCCATCCATAACCTTTGATGCAGCATCTGTTCAAATCTACCCACCTTTTTTTCTTTGAGACAGAGTCTCACTGTGTTGCCTGGGCTAGAGTGCCGTGGCGTCAGCGTAGCTCACAGCAACCTCAAACTCCTAGGCTCAAGCAATCCTATTGCCTCAGCCTCCAGGGTAGCTGGGACTACAGGCATGTGCCAGCATGCCTTGCTAATTTTTTATATATATATTTTTAGTTGTCCAGCTAATTTCTTTCTGTTTTTTTAGTAGAGACGGGGTGTCGCTCTTGCTCAGGCTGGTCTCAAACTCCTGAGCTCAAACAACCTGCCCACCTCAGCCTCCCAGAGTGCTAGGATTACAGGCGTGAGCCACCGCTCCTGGCCCTACCCACTTTTTAGTTGGGTTGTTTCTCATTACTCAGTTTTGAGAATTCTTTATATATTCTAGATGCAAATCCTTTATCAGATATTCAGATGTGTTTTATAAATATTTTCCTCCAGCCTGGCTTTTTTTTTTTTTGCATTTTCTTAATGCTATCCTTTTTTTTTTTTTGAGACAGTCTCGCTCTGTCACCCTGGCTAGAGTGCAGTGGAGTCATCATAGCTCACAGCAACGTCAGACTCCTGGGCTCAAGCGATCCTCCTGCCTCAGCCTCCCAAGTAGCTGGGACTAATTTTTCTATATTTTTTTAACAGAAATGGGGTCTCGATCTTGCTCAGGGTGGTCTCGAACTCCTGGCCTCAAGCAATCCTCCTGCCTCAACCTCCCAGAGTGCTAGGGTTACAGGCATGAGCCACCTTGCCCGGCCCTCTTAATGCTATCTTTCAAAGAAATATCAGCATTCTTTTAGGAAATAAATTGAACTTTAGTTAATCATGATGCATTACGTTTTAGTGTTCATTTTCCAACTAGAGTTTAAGTTTGTTGTATCACTTTTAAGCACATGATTAATTCAGATTTTACAAGTAAACCCCCTCACTGATTAACCAGATTTAAATTTGGTTTGTTTTTCAGGAAATTGGATACACTCACATGAAAGTCGCGGAAGGTGTGAACTCCCTCCTGCAGATGGCAGGGCTCCTGGCCAGGCTGTGTCAGAAGACAATGGCGCCAGTGGCCAGTTAGAGCAGAGACTTCACTGACTGAGTTACAAGAGTCCTCCTCCTTAAAATACAGGAGTCACGGCCTTCTGATCGGGGTGGGGGGATGCCGCCTCAGGTGGGGCCAGCACGCGCCATGCTTTAAACTCCAGCACAGCTCCGCTCCTCGCATGTCTTTTTTTGCCTTCGACCTCAGACTCGTCCAAGCAGCGATGGGGTGGAAAGGCCCCAGAGAAGCTCGCAGCAGGGCCCCTGATCTGTGTGTGGGGGTTGACATTTTAGCTGATAAAGTCTTACAGCATTTGTGGGCAATGAGGTGGCCACGTGAGGCCTCGAGGAAAACTAGCTTCCTGTCTCTGCCCGCCCCAAGTGACCTTCAAGTGGAAACAGCTATTAGATGACAGACTAGACAAGATAATCTCAGTTTTTCTAGGAGCTAATCTCAATTTTTCTAGAAGCCTAAAGGGTCAGATTCCATGGGGTGAGGGCAGAGTTTGCTGTCACTTCCTGACGGTTTAGACAGACTTCTCAGAATGCCGGGCACTGTGCCCTTCAGGCGGGCTTGCTGAGGGCCACTTCGTGGAGTGGAGTGCGCTACTCATGGCCTCAGGAAAACTGCTGTGTCCTCTTTCCCATGTAGTCTGTGTACTCGTCGCTTCAGAATTTCCCAGTGAACTTTATATTAATTTGTAGCATTGCCTTTTTTTTTTTTTTTTTTTTGCAAGGTACTATTTCTTTCCATTTTCTTTTTTTCTTTTTTTTTTTGAGACAGAGTCTCACTGTGTTGCCCGGACTAGAGTGCCGTGGCGTCATCCTAGCTCACAGCAACCTCAAACTCCTGGGCTCAAGCAATCTTCCTGCCTCAGCCTCCCGAGTAGCTGGGACTACAGGCATGTGCCACCATGCCCAGCTAATTTTTTTCTATATATTTTTAGTTGTCCAATTAATTTCTTTCTATTTTTAGTAGAGACGGGGTCTCGCTCTTGCTCAGGCTGGTCTCAAACTCCTGAGCTCAAACAATCTGCCCGCCTCGGCCTCCCAGAGTGCTAGGATTACAGGCGTGAGCCACCGCACCCGGCCCCTCCATTTTCTTTTAATTGTGAAAAATTTTAGAGTAGAGAGAATGACATGGTGAACCTTCACGAATTCATTGTCCACCTGCCTAGTGTTATCCACACAGGGCCACCCCCCGTCCCACCCCAGATTCCTGAGAAGCAAACCCCAGGCAGTTTAAGGATGGTGTCTTTCATGGGGTGGGGGTGACTGCCGTGCACGGTGGTCTCCTGTGGGAGCTTTGATTGAAACACACTGTCCTGTGGGCTCCTGGATGACGGGCTGCAGGGGTGTGGCTGCCTGTCCCTGTCTGATCCTCGCTGTGGGTCCCAGACAGCTCTCGTGTCCTGGTCTGAGCATGGAGCAGCCGGGGCTGGCCTTCCCAAGCAACATCAGTCCCCCATCCAGGCCACATTTGAGTGGGGACACTAAACAGACATGGAAAGGCTCCAAGGTTACTGGCTTTTCGGGTTAAGGTTTCTGTTAAGGCGGGGGGGGGGGGGAATTAAAAATAACTGAAGCCCTTGAAAACAAAGGCGTAGCGCGTACCTTCCCAATGTTACTTACTACCTGGGACCTCGTAATGCCTGGGAGGTGAAGGATTGATTATATCCCCAATTTGCAGGTAAGGACAGTGGGCCCAGAGAGCCACCTGGTTCCCCCAGCTGGGGACAGCAGAGGCAAGACTCCCCCGGTGTCTTCTCCCCAGTGCCGGAGTCCCCCCAGCCCTGTACCTCCACTCACCCCTGAGCTCACAGTAGAGGCGCTTGTCCCTGAGCTTGTGAGGTCAGGACTTTAGGGTGTGACGTGACGGTGGCCAAGAGTTGGGTTCTAGACATTTCCTCTAGTTTCCTAACTTGTGGTATTGATCTCTTCTCATGGGAGCAGTCGGTGTGGGTGTCCTGGGAGGAGGGCTGCACTCAGGACCTCCCTCTCTGGCCTCAGGGTCCCCTTCTCTTCAATAAGAGGCTTCACTTCATTCCCTCAAAAGGTTTTTCTTTACCTGAAGCAGACCCAGGAAAATCGTGGCTCTTAAACTAAAGTGGTTTATTGAGATGTTTGGGTTGGAGGAGGCATGTTTCCCTGGCTGGGTTTCTGACTCAGAAGTTCCCCTTAGCCAAGGCCCCCTGGGTGGAGGAGGGTGCTGGGCAGTGAAGGGCTGCACTGCTGGCTGAGGGGCCTCTGGCCACACTGCTCCAGACTGATGCACTGTTGTCCATGGCAGATGCCATTTTCACAGAAGGGGCACAGGGTGGCTGTAGCCTCATTTCTTCCTGAGTGAACCGAGGCCCAAAGAAAGGGGAGGTCCCCGCTAAAGGACAGAGGGAGAGCCAGGGCCTCTCCTTGCCAGGATGCTGAGGGTAACCACATGTAATGCTTTGTAAGGTAAGTCTCTACCCTGAAGTTCAGAATATTAAATATGGCTCTACCTATATAAATTAACTGTACAAGATTATCAATCACAAAAAATCCCAGCAACTGACAATAGCAACTTGGGATCCAAATCCAAAGCAAAAAGGACACAACCACCAGTGTCGATGCTTTAGACATGGGGACAGGGCTACAGCTCGACCCAAACCCTGGGCGTCCACCACAGCGGGAGCCGGGTCACCCCTGGCACCTGCCCCAGGAAGCCTGGGTTGTAGGGCGGGGGCAGTGGGAGGTGCATTTTTGGCAATCCTACAAGTAACTATCCCTCCCCAGGCTGCACCCCCGTGGCCAGGTGGTCCTCAGGAGTGTCGGTGTCCCTTCCAGGAGCAGCCATGCAGGGCCCTAAAAGTTGAGCGGCTCTAGAAAGCCATCCTTGGGAGGCCACCAGCAGGTCCATGAGCTCAGCGGTCCTCCAGCCGCCTCACCTTGGCACCTGCGGCGGAGAGGAAAAGAGTTTGTTGAAAGGAAAAGCTTGCCTTGGCCAGTTTTTCGTTCCCTCAGAACCAGAGTGGCTGGTTTGGGTCAGCACTCAGCTGCCCTCCTGGCTCCAGGCGAGCAGAGCCCGCCCACCAAGCAGCCTCGGCTGGGTTTCTCAAATCCTGATCCCGGCCGAGGCTGGGGATGCCCTCTGCACAGTGGCCAGCAGCCTTCTCCCGGGCAGGTCCTGGGCTGCCGCTTACCCCCCCAGATCTGTCCTCGCCCGACGCACGGAAAGTTGCGTCAGGCCTTGCGTCAACTGCCTTCCGCCCTGACTCACTGGAACCCAGCGATCGGGCCACTCGGCCTTTTGTCAGCCCACTGCCAACGCGCGCTGCAGTGTCCACGCCTGCTCTGCACCAGATAGCATCCAGCTAGACAGGGCCCAGCACTTGCCCCCCTGCGGCTTTTCTGTCCCCATGCTGTCATCTAAAAACCTGCGCAATCCCCAGCTCCTGCCCCACTTCCTCTGCTCCCCTCTGAAGTGAAACTTCTTGAAGAATTATCTGTGCCGCTGTGCACGCAGACCTTCTCCCCACCACGTCACCAAAACTGCCCTTGTGACCGATGTCCGCCAGCACTCGTCTCTGTCATCACAACCTCTCCGTGCTTGGCTACACCCTCTCTCAGCCCTGTCACTGGTGCTTCTCCCCCTCTGGCTTGGGAGGGGCCCCGGCTCAGTGCTCAGTCCTCTTCTCTCCCTCCCTCCCTCAGTGACTGTGCACCGTCTATGCGGTGACAGTGCCCAGGGCTGTGGCTCTAACCTGACCCTCTCCCCTGAGTCCCGGCTCAGACATCTCCCCGCCTGTGTCCTGCCCCACCCACATGGCCAACTCGAACTTAACACGTCCAAAAACAAACTCCCAGCTTTCCCTACAAAACCTGCTGGCCAGTACCGCCCAGATCTCCTAACAGCGACATCCGCTATGGCTCAGGCAGACTCACAGCCCTCACCTGGGCCTCACGCCCCCACCCATCGATACCTCCTCCAAAACACATTGGGATCTCTGCCCTCCCCAGCCCCAGACCCCACTGTCGCCACCCCTGGCCCAGGTGGCACCTGGTGCCCTCTCTGTTCCTCCCGTGGATTGGATACCCTGGATCCAGGAGGGGCCGATGCCCCTCGGCCCAAGGCAGCAGGAGAGCAGACGGTACCTTCCTTCCGGGCCTTCCCTAGGCTTCCCCGGCCACATCCCCATTCACGTAATCCGGTTCCCCGTCCTCGTCTGGGCTTCCCGGGGAGGGCGGTGCTTCTCGCCAGACGTGCTCTGCGGACCAGTGGGTAGAAGGGTGGGCGGAGGGTTCACACGGACACACCCGCCACCACTGTTCCCCCAGCGGGACGCCTGGGCTCAGACTCCCAGACCGTACAAAGCAGCCCATGGGAAATGCCCAGGAGGCTGAGGTGGCGGCTGCCAGGAGCCCTGGCAAGGCTGGAGGCCTCTGCAGCTGCCGGTGCACCGGGGGCTCCACTGCGGGACCAGCTGGTCCTGCTGGAGGGAAGCCCGCCCCGCACTCCCAGGCCAGCCCCTCGGAGCCTGCTCCAGTGGACCACCCAAGCCACATACCCATGACCCTCCTGGACTCCCGCCACTGGTGAATGGATGCGGAGTTTTGATAATCCTCACACTCCTCATTGTCTGCGGGAGAGCACAGGGACAGGGACTGGAGGAGGGGCAGCCACCTCCCAGTCTCCAGGGCCAGTGAGGAGCTGTGGCCGCCCCTCCGCAGAGGTCACACTGATGCTGGGCAGACACCCTCAGCTCACTCCCACTGTGGCCAGGAGCTGATGGGGCCTCCTCCCGGGACACCAGGGGCGCTACATCACCCAAAGGCACCAGAGACAGCAGATAAGGCAGAACCTTTGGGCCCCAAGGTGGAGAGCTTTGAGCGGTGGGCCTGGCGCAGGCTGAGCAGCCTCACCTGAGGTCCTGGGCTTGCAGATGAGGACGTTCTCGTAGGAATTGGTGTCATCGTCGTCTGCCGGGGAGAGGGGGGAGGGCACGGGTGCGGGTGGGCCCTGCAGACAGCCTGGCTCGTTCTCCCTCCTCCGTCCTGCCCTCCCTTTGCAGATGACCTGTCCACCAAGCCCCAGCCCTCTGGGTCCCTGAGGACCCATCGCCTCGAGCTCCTCTGGACAACCTTCCTAATGGGTGCTGGCCTGGCCCCTACAGGCCCCACCCCGCTCCTTCTCTGTCTGAGGTCCCACCTGAAAGCACTGGGGAGGGGGCTGTCAGGGAGGGGGCTGGACTCCCCTAGGGTCCAGGGTGGGCAGGCTGGGGAGCGGTTTGCTCAGGGACCCAGGCCGGCTGTAGCCCCTCAGAACCTGGCACCCTGTCACCTCCCTGCACTGGGGAAGCTGAGCTCTGACACAGCCCCCACCCAGCGGTCCATCTGTGACAAAGGGGCTCCAAGAAATGAGCCCCACCCCCAGTTCAGAAGTGGCCGGGGTGGGCGAGGACCTCCCAACACCTGCCCCAGCGTGGCCCAGGCAGAGCCAGGACCGTGCACCTCTCAGCAGGCACTGCCCACCCTCGGCCTTCAGGTCCTCTTTCTACAAAGCCAAGGTGTTCAGAGCCTGCAGGGCGTGGCGCCCATCAGCAAGGTTGCCCTGGCTAGAGCTTTCCAGGGCCCCATCTGTGCCCGTCAGGAGCTGCCCGTCCACCCCCAGCTGCCCCTCTGAGTCCCTACCCTGTGGCCCAGTCCACCCTCCCAGCGCCTCCGCCCATACCTCCCATGCTGGCTACCACGCCACTTCCTCCCAGCCCACCCGCCTCACCTTCCGAGGGCTTAGGGAACCGCTCCCCGTTGTAATAGCGCCCAGCAGTGGGGTCTCTGGCCGAGAGAACAGACACAGCGCAGGTTGTGGGGCAGGCCTGAGGTCAGGGTGGGGGCCCCTGGGGGGACAGTGACGCTGGGGCTACTCTGGCCATCACTCGCCAGGGGGCCTGTGGGGGCTCTGCCAGGGTCACCCCTTATCCCACCACCCACACTTCCCTGAGCTCCCAAGCCCCTGAGGGCTGGAGAGGGTAGCCTGGCTCTGGCCACCTTGCTGTGTGACCTTAGGCCAGTCGCCACCTGTCCTGGGCCAAGGTTTGCCCATCTGTGAGACAGGCCACCTCCCCTTCCCGCTGCTTGTCTTTAGGTGACGCCAGCTGGGTCTCACCCACCCCAGCAACCCCACCCCCAGAGAGAGGCAGTGTCCTGATCCCACAAAGCCATGGTCATGCTCCCGCTGGGACCCCGAGGGGCTGTGTTCTGGGGCGGACTGCAGTTCCTAGAACAGGAAGCTGAGGTCAGGAGGGGCCGGGGGCGGCCAGGGCAGGGACAAGGCCCCTCACATGTAGCCTGCATCCGATCCGTGTCTGCTTCCTGCAGGGCGAGGCAAGAATTAGGACTCAGCTCCTGGGCCGTGGCCTCCCGCATCCCTCCACCCCGCCCCGGAAGCCACCTACCTTTGCTGAAGTTCTGGTACCTGGGGCACGCCAGCTCTGGAAGAGAGGCCAGGCTCATTGCTCCGCCCCCCGCCCGCCTCCCACCCAGCTTGCCGCCTGGGTGTTCCCAGCGTTCCACCTTTGCAGTGCTCCCCGCCCCCTCCGTGGGGGTTGTGTGTGTGAGGGTGCCCCCACCAGGCCAATCCCATGAGCCCACCCAGCCCAGCTTGTGGGTCTCTCCTGACCCTGTAGGACCCCCCTCCACAGCGCCTGTACCACCAGGTGCTCACCTTAGTGCCATCTGAGCTGGCCCCGCCCCTGCCTGCCCTGCGTCACTCACCCTCCAGGCCGGGGGAGAACTGCAGCAGCTTCTCGTTCCTGCAGGGATGCGGTGGGTGGGGGCTGAAGGAGGGAGAGGCCCCAGGGCTCCTGGGCTCTGAAGGCCCAGGCCACATTCCCCCAACCCCCCGGAGGAGCCCTGGGGTCTGGGGTGGGAGGGAGGTTTTTGACACTCCCCCCACCCCCGGCGCCCTCCTTCTCATCGCTCCCTGTGGGGCTGCGATCCCCTCGGGGCCCAAGACAGGGAGCCCACTCCTACCTCGTGTGTGCCACATCAGAGACCGTGTCCGCCAGGGGCCCCGGCCATGGATGCCCAACCACTGCAAAGGGCAAGGGGGTGTCGGCTGGGCCCCCAGGCCAGCCCGGCCAGCCCAGCCCCCTCACCCCTTCTCCCGGCCAGAGCAGGCTTGGCCATGGTGTCAGGGCGGTGGGGAAAGAAGGGACCTTGACAAGGACACCCCCGGCCCCCAGCCCAGCCCCTGGACCCTCCAGGACTCACAGGAGTAGGTCTGGGCCACCACAAAGCTCTGCCGGCTCTCTTGCCTGGGAACACACGGGCTGCGCTGAGCCAGGTCCTGGCCCCCCACAGCCAGGGGACACAGGGGCAGGAGAGAGGGCAAGAGAGGGACGAGGAACAAGAGAGGAGGGACAGACCAGGGCCGCAGCCAGGAGGAGCTGCCCCTCCAAGCCTCAGACTCACAGTCCCCCTGGTTCCCCCATTCCCTGGATGCCCCCCACTGGGCCCACCCCTCACACAGGGCCCCGAGCTGGAGCCCAGCTGCAGCCAGCACCATCCCCCATGGCCTCAACTGGGCCATGTCCTGCTGGGGGTCCCAACACCTAGAGACTGTCAGGGAGGGTCTGTAGGTAGCACTGGGGAGATTCTGGGGTGGAGGAAGATGCTCAGGGATCCAGGGGTGACTTGGGGCAAATGATTTCAGCCAGGAATGACAAAGAGACTGCCCCCCACCTGCTGCCCCCGGGAGAGTTTGCCATTCCTAGGAGAGCACACCCGCGGGGATGTGCAAACCACCAAATAACTGGCGAGACAACTTCTCAGCTTAGCAGGCTCAGCTAGGGACCCGTCCCTCGGGCTCTCCCTCTCCCTTTGAGACAGATCCCTGATTTTCACTTAGGCAGCCCTGTGCCCACCTAAGAGACTATATATCCTAGCCTCCTTACACCTAAGCATGGCCATGTGATTAAGCTCTGACCCATGAAATGCAAGCCAGGGTTGCTGATGTTTGTAAGAAATCTCCTTACAGGGGGGCACTGCCAACTGGGGTACACCCTTTGTGTCTTTATCCCTTCTTGCTCCCTGCTGCTTGGAATGCAGAGATGAGGGCTGGAGCTCCAGATGCCATCTTGGGCTACGAATTGTTCTTGAGAATGGAAGCCGCCATTAGAGATAGTGGAGCTGATTAGCTAATCATTAAAGGTTTTGGGCTCCTCTCTGGGCCAGAATGGGTACCTGGCCTAGCCTTCCAGGAGTCCTGATTTAAGAGAGAGTCAGACACGGCTTCCTAGAGGAGGCGATGCCAGAGCTAGGCCTGGTGCCCATAGCAGTTGCTTCATGCAGGTTGGTGGGATGGAACCGACCAAGGTGAGAGGTTGAGAGGCAGGAAAAGGCATTCCAGGGAGGGGAACATCCAAGACTCGAGTTCCACCTCCTGCATGGGGACATTTAGCTTCTGGCCCTGACTGTCTGTGGCTCTGAGATCAATTAGGGGCCCTGGTGGGCAGGGACTGAGGGAGAAGGGGAGGTGCCCGAGGAGGCAGGGCCATGGGGGCACTGGGGAGCTTGCAGGCGGGCAGGCCAGGAGGCCAAGTGGCCAAAAAAGTCCAGAAAGGTCCAGCCCTGGCCCGGGGTGGCGGGTGGGGGGCAGGGATAGGAAGATTCTATTTTCAAATCTCACTGTGGTTTTTCAGTTGCAAAAGGAAATGAGGAAGTGTGTGTGCGTGTGTGTTTGTACATGCCTGCCTGCCTGGGGTACAAGCAAGTGCTGTGCTGCATGTGTGAGAAGTGCGTGTGTAGCGGTCTCAGGTCTCCCGGGCCCACAGTCATTCATTCTCTGAATCAAAGGGCACCAGTGGCTGCCGCCGTCATGCCCAGGGTAGCTCTTGGGCTTCGGCCCCAGTCCTGGTCTGCGGTGTCTAGCACACTGACCCTCCCGGGACTTTCCCCAGGCCTTCCCTGACCCCCCCGGGACGCGCCCACAGCCTCTCCTGAGCTTTAGCGTCTCCAGGGGGATCTCGGACGAGGCTCGCGTTTCACTTTGTGCCCGTCTCTGTCTCCCCCGTTGCACTGGCAGGGCAGGTTCCTCCGTCTGCCCCTGGGCTGGGGTCAGAGGGAGGCTGATGACACAGGTGCCTGGACCTCCCGAGGGGCTCATGGGCAAGCTGGAGAGTGGCTGGCCCAACAGCCCAAGTGTCCCTGCTTCCGCTACCCCTCCCTGTTCCAGACTGTGGCAGGGCCTGGACAGCCCCTGTCCCTCCCTGACTGCTGGGGACACGCCAGACCCCCGAAGGGTGAGGGACGAGGGAGGGTGCTGGGAATGCCCTTGGGGACTCTGCGGCGACTCACAGACTTCTCTGCTCATAGATTTTCTCGGACCTCTTTGCACCTGCAAGAACAGGCCGGGATTAGCAACTGGCTGGGAGCCAGTGGGCCTGAGGTCCGAGGCCCCCCCGCCCATCTTGTCTACCCTGTGCCCTCTGCAGGCCTCAGGCAGGACGTGGGGGCTGAGCCCTCAACCAGGAGGGCCACCTGACACTGAAAGGGTATTTGTTTACCCTTTTCTTAAGAGAGGAGAGCTCAGAAAATGTGGATGCCAGGCACAGGGTCTGGCCCCAGACATCGCCTTAACCCCAAATCCAAAACCCCATGGCGAACCAAACCCACTGCATCAGGGGCAGTTTGGGGGCCACCAGCGCCTTTGGGGTGGCCTTGCCAGGCCCATCTGCCTGCTGCTTCTGACCACAGCCAGGTCTCGCCCTGAGAGGGTCTCGGGGTATCCCGTGACCGCCTTCTCCCCCTCACGCCCCCAGCACCCCCTTACCTGGGCGGGAGCAGCGCACACACAGGCTGGCCGCCAGCCCCAGCAGCAGCAGTGCCAACCCGGGCCACAGCAGCTCGGTCCCCGAGCTCATGTCTGCTCCTGGCGTCCCTCCTGCAGTGCTGCAACAGGCGGCACCGGTGAGCAGGGGCCGCTCCTCCAGGAATCTCCTGACCCCACCGTGCCCCCCGGCAGCCCCACAGCCGAGCCCAGGCCGCAGCCGCGCCACCTTCCCTCCCTTCTGCGGCCGGGCCAGGACGGAACCAGCCAGCCCTGTTCCCGAATGGGACCCCAAACCAGCACCCCTGGCCCTCGGCCATTGTCATTCTTGTTTTTAGTGCTGCAAGGTGCTGGAAGCCACACGCGGCACCGCACACGCGCGCACGGTCCCACCCACACTCTTGCTCAATCCAGACGACCCGCCCTTTGAGGGCGAGGTTCACTCTGCTTCATAAACTGAGAAACTGAGGCCGGAGAGCTCACAGCAGCTAAGTGGACAGACAGGATCTCAGCCCCAGGCCTCCTGCAAACCCGCCTTGGCTCCCTGAGGTCGGAGTCCGTGGCCTCCGCCTGCACAGGACCCCCCAATACCCCCAATCAACCTAGAGCACCTTAGGGCTCTTCTCTGCCTCCTGGGGGACCTGGGAATGGGATTCCCATCCCCAAACCATCTGTGAAAGTCAGGGAAGGCTTCTCGAAGGAGGTAGCCTGAGGACATGAGCTGGGACAACAGGCCAGGCTGGAGAGAGGACGATCTGGGGAGAGGGGGCCCTGAGCCCCTGCGGCACGCGTCGGCTTCCTTGGGGACACGCGTGATGGCCAGGCCTCAGGGAAGCCACGCACAGCCACACCGCCTGGCCTGGGGAACAGAAGCACAGCCCTCTCGAGCGGGCTTCCGACAAGAATTGTTGCAACTATAAAGAGACTCGTCCTCCTCATGATGGCCGGGGACACAGCTGAGGGTGACAGGATCTCTGAGGACGCTCAGCAGTGTGTCTGCTCTGTGCTCGCCTGTTCTCCTGCCTCGGCCAGTGGTGGGCAGGGGTCCCCCGTGCCACGGCCGGGGAAGGAGGGCTGGGAGCCGAGACAGGGCTGCAGACTAGCCTTGTGGCCTTGGACAAGGCTCAGAACCTCTCCAAGCCTCCTGAGCCATCTGGTGACGATGACATGGAATCCCCAGCCAGGGGTCTGTCACAGAGAAGCCCCTCCCCGAAAGCCAGTGAGTCAGTGGGAACAAATGAATGCCCGGATCCTGTGACCTGCATGACCCACGTCACCCCAAGATGTCTGGGGGGAGCTCGGTTCCCCTTCCCCTTCCCTCGACTCGCTCTGGCTTGGTGCCTGCCTCCCAGGGTGGGCTCCCCCCAACCCCGCCACCAGCCACTCTGCCACGGTCCAGGGTTATCTGGGCCGAACTTGGAGCACCTGGTCTTGGAGTGAGGACTCCTGGGATTGAACCCTGCCTATGCCTGGGAGCCTCGGAGCCTCAGTTTCCTCATCTATGAAATGGGAATGAATCCAGTGCTTTCCTCAAAGGGTGGCTGGGGTGATAAGTGGCCCAACCTGGCTCACGGCCGTGGCTTCCTGGAGAGAGACCTGCCGGGGGTCTGATTTATGGCCGGTGGGTTAGGATGCCTCCCTCACTCTACTGACCCTTGACATCTCTGTCCTTTGGTCAGGACAGTGACTCTGTCCCCCAAAGGGATTCAGGTACAGACCCACGGGTGGGTCACACACAGGTGTGACAGCCGGGATGTGGCCCAGTACTGGCCAACTCCAGAGTTCGCTTAAGCCCCCAGGAGCAAGGCTGGCTCTCAGCCCAACGTTCGAGGCCCTTCAGGACACATCCCCCTCCCTGGGGGGGATGGTCCTCTGTCCCAAAGGGCCTCGACACCCAGAGACCCTCCTGCCTCCTGGAGGCTGCCATCCTGGGACGAGCAGAACCCTGGGGCTCCCCCAGGCTGGGCAGGGTGTGGGGCAGGCCTGTGTGGTAGACTCTCATCCCTTCTCGGGATGCTGTGTGTGGCACAGGGCTGGGCTCTGGCTGGGCATGACCACCGTGACCCCTGTCCCTTGAGGCCCCTAAGGCCCAGAGCAGTGGGAAGGGGCAGTGGGGGTGGCCTGCTTGGTCCAGGGTTGGCTGAGTGGCCTGCAGCGAACACGGTGGAGAGCTTGGCCGGAGCGTGCCCACCTGGCTGCCCCAGACACACGCAGGCCTGCATCTCCCCACACTGACCCCCACAGGGGCCGAGGTGCTGGGACCCCAGGAGGGGCTGGGGCCTGAGGGGAGCCAGGGCTGACGCATGGGGTACCTCTGCGATGGACTCCGTGGCCCATGCCCCAGCTGCACCGCAGCACTGGTGAGAGACCCCCGAGCCCAGCCCCCCTTGTCCAGGGGAGCAAAGGGAGGCTCAGAGAGGTGCAGACGGTGTCCCAGGTCACACAGTGGGAGAGGCACAGAGCTAGGATCCTTGCCCATGCAGGCCAGCCACAAATGCCACGCGCCTTCTCCCATTTTTATATTAAATTTGAAAAAATCATGAACTAGTTTTGAAAACGGAGACTGAAATTTAACAAACACTCATGTGTCTGCCCCAGATTGAATAAATTCTGTCTCTGTCTCTCTCTGCCTCTCGCTCTCACTCGTGCTCCCGCCTGGGTTCTGAAAGCAGGTGGGGGGAGGTGGGGGGAGGAGCTGGGCCCCCGAGGAGGCACCGGTGTTCCCCAGAAGGCCCCAAGGGGCCGGCAGGGCTGGGTGGGGAGGGGAGCGAGGCGGCTGCCACCAGCAGTTCTCAGGCCAAAATAGCAGAAAGGGAAGTGGGCAGTTTCCATATGAACAAGGTTGGCAAAGGGCCGGCTTCGGGGAAGTTCGGGCTGGGCTGAGCATTGGAGCCTTGGGGCCTCGGAGACCACCCTGTCCAATCCCCCAGCCCTCTCCATGCTGCGGCTGGGGAAACTGAGGCCCAGTGGGGCGGAAGGCGGATGGGGCCTTGCGGGAAGTGAGAGGTGGACCCCAGCTGGAAGCCCTGTCCACTGGGCTTCACGCAAGGCTGGCCAAGGGGCCCCTTTGAGGGGCTGTCCGTGCCCAGGTGGCTGGAGGGAGGTGGGGGCAGAGGGGCCCAGGCAGTGATGCGGATGGTGAAGGCAGGTGGCTGAGGGCCTGGCCAGCCAGGGCCACCTGTCACAGAGCCAGGCACAAGGAGCCCCCAGGGCCTGCGGCAGTTGGCCCCTCAGATCCCCGGCAGAGAGTGACAGGTGGCCAGAGGCTGGGTGGGGGCGGAAGAGACAGTAGCTTCCCCCCTACCTGGGGCACGACCTGGGCACACCAACCGGCCTGCGGAGTCTCACCCTCGTCCCACAGCCCTGTGGCAGGGGTGTTACGTCCCACTTTGCAGATGAAGAAACTGAGGCTCACGGCCCAGGCGGCTGCTTTCCTGGCTCCCGGCAGCCCCTTGCCAGTCTCTGGCGGTCATGGAAGCACCCCGGGGCTTTCCGGCTGTGCAGGCCGGGCTGGGGGAGGCAGGAGAGGCTGGGGCTCCAGAAACAGCTGGTGCCAGGGCAGGAGTGGGGCTGAGGGAGGGGGCCGCCCCGTGGGGTGGGGGCCGGGCTCCGGGCGCTCCTAGCAAAGGCTTACCTGAGGATTGAGGGCTCCTCACCGTGGCCACCCCATCCCGAGTCCCCACAGCTGCCCGAGCCGACGCCGACGCCACACACACTGGCGGGCAGCGGGCAGGGCGACAGGCTTCCTGTCAGCCCTGAATCACCCTCACATCCGCTGCTGTGCCGGACAGACGCAGCTGCAAACAGATGGGGCGGGGGGCGGGGAGAGTCAGAGAGAACCAGGCCGAGCTTGAACAGGAAGACGCGGACACACGCATGTAAACACAGCAAGCGACGCAGAGGAAGAGAGTCACGCACCGAGGGACAGGGAGAAGGAGAACGAAACTGAGGCGCTCACATAGACACGCGCGGGCGGAGCGAGCAGGAAGGACACACGTGCAGAAACGCAAGCCCCACTGAAGACGCGCAGAGGGAGCGACCCCACGACGGAGACAGAGAGGGACAGGTAGAGACGGAGCCTGAGATGGACCAAGACACACAGAGACAGACACATGGGCCGTCAGAGTCCCAGAGGACAAGACAGACGCAAAGGACACGGGGCACGGGTGGGCAGGGAGAGACGCGTGGCCCATGCATGTGAGGGCAGAGCAGATGGAACAAACGACCACACAAGACGGGTGGACAGAGGGGCGGGCGGCCTTGTGTGCCAGAGGCAGCAGGACGGGAGCGAGCTGCAGGGCGGGAGGAGGAAGGACAGTCCTGCTCGTCCCCCGCTGGAAGGCCCGTCACCCCCATTGCGCAGTCAAGGCTCCGGGCTGGAGACACAGGAGGGCAGGCTCGGATTGCAGCCACATCTGTCCAGCGCTGCCCGTGTCCCCAGTCTCCACAGAGGTGAGGGTGGAGTGAGACAGTCAGCGTCCTGGCACCTGGGAGAGGTCACCAAACACGCACCCGGAGAGTCGTGTGCTGGGCCTCGTGCTGCTGGTCATCGAGCAACTTGCATCCCAGCTCTCAGCGGCATCCCACCTGCTGTAGACACCCAAGGAAGAGCAGGAGGGTGTGGCATTTCAGAAGCCCGGTCCCCCAGCCCAGGACTCCTCTGGGCCGGAGCTGGGCTTCTATTTCAGCCCTTGTTGCAGGCCAGGCGAGGTGGCAGCACAAACGGGTGGCCTGGCTGCACTGCTGCCACCCCGTGGGCAAGGAGGGCAGCACACACCCCGCCTCCCGTGGTGGAATGGGGATGGTACAAGGCCATCAGCTCCCAGATCTGTGCTGTGCAAGTAACACCACGGCCCCTCCATCCGTCCGGCATGGTGACAGGTAGGAAGACAGAGGCTCGTGGAGGCAAGGCTGGATTTGAACCCAGACCCCGAAGGCAGTCCTCCTCGCTGGGACCCCTCGTTTTGTCTGGCCCCTCCTCACACAATGGGCACAAGCCTGCATGGGCTTCCCCCCTCCCTGGACTGTGCCCCTGGCCCGGGTCACCTGCTCTGCTCTCTGCTCCCTGCTTCTTCCCGGGCCTGTGCACTAGGAGGTGCTGGAGAAGAGTGACCTCTGGCCACGGCCAAGTCGGGGGTCCACCCACAGTAGGGCCTAGAGACCAGTTTGGGCCCTCCCTGGGCCCATTTTTCCAGCCACAAAACAAGAGGGCTGTCAACCCCAGGACCCTTGGTGGCTGGACCTGAGTCGAAGGAGGACATGCCCCGTCTGGTCAATTCGCATATTCCCCAAGCCTTAGCCACCATTCAGCTGTGAATTTGAAAATAAACTTTAAAAAACTGAGTGTTCATGCCCAATTGTATAAATTCTAGTGCACTTAGGTTTTTTTTTGAAACAACTCAAATGGTTTTCGGTATATTGCATTTTTAAAAATTGTGATAAAATATACATGACATAAGATTTACCATTTTAACTATTTTAAAGTATGCATTCCGTGGCATTAATTACATTCAGTGCTGTGCAACCATCGCCACTATTTCTAAAACCTTTTCATCACCGAACAGGGCTTTTCAGTTCACAGCTGAGTGAACGGTTGTGTGCACATTTGTTATAGAAGCAAGATACCGAGAGAGTAATGCAAGAAGCTCTAAACAATCCTAGGGGCCATAATCCCAGCACTTTGGGAGGCCGAGGTGGGAGCATCTCTTAAGGTCAGGAGTTTGAGACCAGCCTGGGCAACGTATCAAGAACCCCATCTCCACAAAAAATAGAAAATTAGCCAGGAGCAGTGGTGCACACCTGTAGTCCCAGCTACTCGGGAGGCTGAGGCAGGAGGATCGCCTGAGCCCAGGAGTTGGAAGCTACAGTGAGCTATGATGATGCCACTGCACTCCAGCCTGGGGGACACAGCGAGACCCCATTTCTAAAAAACACACAAAAAAACCCAAAAAAAACAGTTCTGGGGCTGAGAATCTTCCAGGGTCATACATGCCTTAAAGCCTGATGAAAGCTATTGATTTTCTTGGGAAAAATGTACCTCAGGAACCCATTACCCAACTGAATCTAGAATATTCCCCCATCCTTCTGCCTCCCCCCACCTAAGTAATCGCTGTCTTTTTGTCATGTATGAGTATTTAGCAAGTATTTAATTTTATATGTGAAGAGAGCACCATGTTGTACGTAAGCACTTGGGGCTTGTCTTCCACCTCTTAGCGTTGCTACGATCCGCCCAGTGTCGCATGTGGCGTTATTCCTTTAGCCTGCTGCATGGCAGTCCAATATCTCAATATGGTTTCTCTCTCGCTCTATCAAACAGACGTCAAATTGGTTTCACGCTTTTGCTGCTGTGAATGTAATTTCTCTGAGGCACATAGCTGGGAGGGGAGCCCCCGGGGTGCAGAATATGGGAACATTCAGTTTCCAAGTTAATTTCCAAAGTGGCTGTACCCGTTCACACTCTCGCCTGTAATATGTAAGAGACCCACAAACCTTCCAGCAACTGGCTTGTCAGGCTTTTTGATTTTTGCCATTTCAATGGGTATAAAATAGTTTTTCATTTCCTTGAAGCCTTATTAACGACTCCTTGATCACTCATGAGGCCTGAGCATTGTTTTTTGGCCATATTTCATCTTTTGTGGAATACCTAAGATACTGCTTAGATTTCTACTGGGTTGCTTTTGTCTTACTGATTTGTAGCAACTCTACATATATCCATTATCTTTTTTCAATTTGTAACTCGTTTTTCCATCTTATGCCTTTTTTTTTTTTTTTTTGAGACAGTCTCACCCTGTTGCCCGGGCCAGAGTGCCATGACGTCAGCCTAGCTCACAGCAACCTCAGACTCCTGGGCTCCAGCAATCCTTCTGCCTCAGCCTCCCGAGTAGCTGGGACTACATGCATGCGCCACCATGCCCGGCTAATTTTTTCTATATATTTTTAGTTGTCCAGTTAATTTTTTTCCATTTTTAGTAGAGACGGGGTCTCGCTCTTGCTCAGGCTGGTTTCGAACTCCTGAGCGCAAACGATCTGCCCGCCTCGGCTTTCCAGAGTGCTAGGATTACAGGCGTGAGCCACCATGCCCGGCCTCCATCTTATGCTTTGATAAAATATTTTTTTTAAAAAAATCTGGCGAGCATATTCTTAACTTCAATAGGGTACGAGGCATGAGAAAGGCTTCTACCAATTCCAAGGAATCCTGGTGCTGTTTATGGAATTTCTGATGTGTCTCCCTCCAGATCTCGCCGAGGAAGAGCTGGGCCGTTTACTGCCCCCCACAGTGCAGGAACCAGCAAGTACAGGAGTTCCCTCCAGGGCCCAAACTGAATACTGAAAGCCTGTCCCTGTGAAATGGTGCTTTTATCTGCATATTTAACGTTTTACAGAGTTAGAGAGGGTGGCTCCGGATCGCGGACAAGGCTAGCAGTAGGTTATAATTAAGTACCTAGTCTTTGTTATTTTGGTTCACTTTCATACCAAAAAACTGCGAAGGGAGGACTCTAAGATCGAGCTGTTTTCTAAGTGACAAAGTGACTCACAACACCTCAACCTCGTTAAAGATTGCTCAAAACACAAAAGGAAGAGCAAAGCTTCTCATCAAAGAAACACGAGAGGTGCCCAGAGACACCCCACTTCTTTACAGAAGCCCAGAGAGCCTGGCCCTTGCCCCTCTGCGCAAGGACTTCCTTAGTGGCCGACGTTTCAGGCCGTTTCACCGCCCTACACGCCAGGCAAACCCAAGTTCTGGGTTATCAATCAGCTTTTCTTGTTCTAGACTTAATCTGTTAAGTAATCTCCCTCACTGAGAAAGCCAGGCTGTTCCCTAGGAATCACGAATTCAGAGTGGACGCCAGATAACAGTCCCGACACCTCCTCCTCCTTACCCGGCGTGCACCTGCCAACCTCTTTCCTTTCTGCCTCCTGCTAAGACCTCCATGAAGCAGCAAGAATTCTGAGTCACGATGGAAAACTCAGGTTTCTGGAAGTCAGCTGTGGACACGTTTCCCTTCCTTAGGCTCTGCAGCCCAAACCACAGAAAACCACTGTCAAAAGTGAGTCACCAAGTACCAGGTCCGGGAGAAACAATCCCACCCCTGCCAAAACGGACCCTGAGGTAAGGGCATTCTTTAGAGAGGGACTCACTTGGCACACCATGAAGTTTTGGTTCTCCTTAGTCAGTTTTAGAACAGGAGAGAGAGGCCAGGTACCAACTACCTGTCTAAACCCTTCTCTGGAACACCGACACAGCTGGCGCAAATTTTTATAAAAATGACTCTCTCCATCCATTCACTCATCTGGGGACATACGTTCCCTTAATTCAGTTACTTATGGACGGATGGGAGGCAGGTACCGAAGAGCTTTAAGTATCTACCTGCCAAGGGAATGAATGGCGCTTGCTGTGAGAAGTAACCACTGCACGGCTACACCAACGTTCAGGGAGGCCGGGAGACAGCTGCACGAGCTACACTTCAGTATTAGAAAACCTCACGACTGTGAACCCCAGCTGACTGTTTCAAACACGGGAACATTCCACAGGCCCTTCAGAGACGGAGCCCACAGGACCCTTGGATAGAAGGCTCAGAGCTGGATTTCAAGTCTCTGGTCAGCCACAGAAACTTCCCTACTGAAAACAAAGTCCCAGCTCCTCAAGTTAAGAGTAGGAGGGTTTCTCAGTCTTTGGGATCTCCCTGCTTAAAACACCAGGAGGGTCCAAGTCCTCTCCTGCACTCTTGCCTGGCTGGGAAGCAGTCCAAGCAACAGCCCCTCCGGGCACTCAAACGGCACCAGCCCTGCCCACCTTATTCTTAAAATTCAGCAATAGTCCTGGTTCACACATCACCTGAGGATGCGCCTACCTCACGGTGAGATCTGCATTGGGCCAGGCCTTTCCCGAATGTACGTGGAAGATCTGCATTCTGCCCACGGAGCTCACCTGTGCTTACGGAAGCAGATCAGAAAAACTACCAGATGGCAAAACGTGTAGCAGTGCCTCCCCAAAGCGGACCTGTGTGCCACGAAGCAGACCCCATCAGTCTTGAGAATTTGAGAATTTCTTTTACAAACAAGCGGTGGTTACAAGCAGGTACACATTGTGTAAATACTTGGTTTCCTCCATCTTGGAAAAAAAAATTATGTTCTTTACCTAACCAAAAACTACCACTAGACTTCTAAGGTTCCTGTCTGGTTGGGAAAATTACATTTTTAGGAAGCAAGGGGGGGAAAAAAAGAGGAGAAAAAAATTGGCATCTTATTTCTAATCAACACTAGCTTTTAAAACAATCCCACTAAATCTGTGACTTAAATTACAGTAGACTCTCCTAAATGTAGACGGTGGTTCTCAAATTTAACATTTTTAATTTCACAGTGAAAAAGTATTCAAAAATAAAGACAAGCATTAAATATTACGTAAGGTTTTCTTTTATTTAAAAGATCATTCACAAAATACCATATCCATAGATTTACTTTCTGTCATATAGCTGAATGTGTTAAGTGTTTGGAATTCCATTCTTACATTTAAAAGTCAACTGGATTGCCCAGAAGTTTAGATGAGTGTTTTGTTCTTTTTCTTTCCACATTGAAGATGTGAGTAGGTCATCTGAAAGCATCAGGTTTGATTACAACCACATAATGCATGTCTTTCTTAAGTTAAGTATTGGTGTTACACAAATGGTTCTTATCTCGGAAGCAGAGAAGCTGACAGGTGGAAGGAAGGAGAGGCGAGAGAGTTCTGTAGATTGCTGAGACCTTCTAACAAAGACACAGTAAGAGAAGCCGAGGATGACAGCTAGTGGCCAACTACTACCTAAGCACACTATGCTGTCCAAGCCAGGCCACCCTGGGCCCCGCAGTCAGGGAGGGCCTCTTTCTAGGGCTCTAGCTGCTGGCTGCCCCTGAACTGCTCCCAAGGGGACACACTGGGACTCTGGTGTTAAAAATTTTCCTTTGTTCACACGCAAGTGTTCAAGCTCAAAAGCCTAACCTCCTATACCCAAGTAAGTGTTAAACACTCTACACAGGAACAATAAATTTTGTCCGAAAGATGAGGCAGCAAACCTAGACATTTATTGTCATCTATAGTTAATTTAAGGTTCTGGACAGCTCTGCATAGTAAAATTTTCAATTCACCAAGTGAAATAAAGTGCCAGATTCTAGGCCCATTTTCACTATGAATTTAAGGGGCAGTGGAAGCACAGTATCTCATGTTACCTATACTAGAAAACAAACAAAATACACGGACAACAGGGATCAGGAGAAAAGCAACGTCGGCACTGCGCACTAGCCCAGCGCAGTGGAAGCACCACCCCCCTCAATCCCCAAAGCGCCTCAGCCCAGTGGAAAAAATAACAAGCTGGCATCTGGTACACCCAGCCAGAGAGGAACCTCTTACATCCGGTGAAAGGAGAGAACTAGTTTGGACACGATCTCAAAAGAGCAGTAACAAAAACACACGAACACATTAGAGCACTCAATTCATCTTCTACACGGACTCCCCACCAATATTCCACAATGACCCTTCTCTTTCAGGTTTCACTGGTTGAAATGTGAGCCTATCCTGCTCCAATAGTCCGTGTGGGGAGGGGGTAACAGAGACAGGACTACCTATAAATAGGAACGGAAAGGACTCTGCAAGGATCAACAGATATTTTTATCCTTGTTTTGAAAACAAGGTGCCTCAAATTCTGCATGTCTACCACAGCTGAATAAAAACAAGATGCAATTCGTCAGTCACTTGTTTGTCCCCCCTCGTGGAAGCCACAGCAATACAGAACTCAACATGCAGCAGAAGAGGAGGACTGAGAAAATCAAAGGAGATGCCTGGGGTCTGGCCAGTGTGTCTAAAGTAAACAGAAAGCAAAGGAGAAAAATGAAGCAGAACCTCAACCCCACAGCTCCCGTGCGGTGGCTGCCTTCGACCCTCCACAGAAACTCCTGTTCTGTAAGAAAAACAAGGAGCAAGAAGGAAAAAGGACAGAAGGAAAATGGGGAAGTGGGAGGGAAAAAAAATGTACAAACAGGCACTAGATAGATACAGCAAAGCCAAGGATGTACTAAAAACCACTTGTTAACAGCTGACATGCATTCACAAGCTCTGTGTTTCCGTTGTAAGAAAGGAGGACAATGTCAGGCGCAGGAATGGTGACTGCAGGACTGCCGCCCAGGGGGCTAACCAGGCTGTGGTCTTGCTCTAACCCCCACACCCCATTCCCTCCCAACTGTAGGCTCATTCTTGCTCCCTGTGAACGACTTCCTCTCTGGGTCTGGCTCCCCCGAAGATAGCAGAGTTGGGATTGGCTACTTGATTGAGGGGTGTTGCAACTGTTCGAGGTTTAAGCTGGAGTCGTGGTCTCTGAGCTCTTTCCTCTGGGGGAGGAAAAAAACGTTGTTTATAAAAGCATGGATCCCACTTCACATTCAGGCAAAATAACCAAATTGACGTTGGTCTCTACGACTCAGCCCATTTTCTAAAATTAACAGCCTTAAAGAACTACTAGTCCATCAGCAAATGCTTTAATAAAGGTAAACTTCTTATTTAAGACAAACGGGGGTGATCTGTGGCACCAGCTGTGTGTGAAACAAGGAGAATTTATGTGGGGTGCAGTCAATGCATCATGAAAAGACGCCCTCCCCTTTACAGATGACCGCCATACCTTCTGTTGGTTCTCTGAAATCCATGTTGGATCCACGAAGGGGAGGGCCATCTCTGAAACGACTGCCCATTGGAGGGCCTGTTCGCCGGTCACCTGGGCGACTACCTCCCCTGCCTCCTAAGAAGTCATCCCTGAAGCCTGAAGAAGAAAGACGACACTGAATCACTTCTCAACCAACTGTCTAAAGCTGGTTATACAGTAGTCTGTGAATGGTTCTGAGTTTAAAGTTAAGTTCTTTAGTTTATCCGGCATCTGAGGCTTTTCTGATCCAAAGTAAAGTGCAATGAAATGGTTCCAAATGTGAATCTGCTGGGCAGTTACAATGCTTAACAGACTTTTCAAATAAAAAGAATCGGGAGCTTAGGAGAGAAAAATAGAACGAGCTGTTTAAATTCTTAGCTTGCAGGAAAAGTAGAAAAATACCATGAAACTCTATTTTAATGTGGCTTAAAACAAAACAAAAAGCCTTAAAACAGGTTTAATTCCATTTTCTAATATAAATCTAAACAGTCATTAAAAAAGGTAAACCTGAAATTTAGAAGCATTTATAACACAGAACATGAAATCACAAGAAAAAGCGATATGAGGATGAAATAAAAATAGGAAGTCACCTCTGGGTGACACTCCCCATTTTCCTGTTTCTGCTGCGTTTCAGGTGAGGATCATTCTAAAAGCAAAGCACCTGTGTGGTAAACAAATCGGTTATCCAAGGAAGACCACTCCCTACAGAGGGGCACAAGAGGCAGAGCACCTCACACCCAAACTGCACCTCCTGGGGAGAGGGGAGGCAAGGTTCTTTCCCATCTGTGAATTGGCTTTTAGCAGAAGCAAACTGCATCTTACTTGCAATTGTTGGAATTCTCATCAGTGTGTAGAAGGAAGACTATTTCTCAGTGGCTTTTAGGAACCTTAGAGGCTTTCTTGTATTTAAGTGAAAGTGTCTCACAGGGGGGATTAAACTACTTAACCTTTAACAGTATAGCCTACTGAAGTTTGAGTTAAAATTTGGTAAAAATAAATTTAAGGAATAAAACCATTAAATAAATAAGTTTGCTCCCTTTGTTTAAGCACCCAAAGGTGACTCTCTCCAAGGTTGGTGCCATGGCACAGAGCTTTTAAGGAACTTATCTTTGAGAAGAGCCTTCAGAGCCTGAAGGATATTCTACATTCAGCTGATCCTCATTGTTCAGACTCCACATTTGCAAATTCATCTACTTACTAAAAATTTATATGTAACCCCAAAATCAGTGCTTGTGGCACTTGTGTAGTCATTCATGGACGTGCACAGAGCAAGGGAAGACTTGAGTGACCAGAGGCGCTCACTCCCAGCTGAGGCAGCAAAAGTCAACACTCTGCCTTCTTCGTTCAGCTCTTATAATGTAAACAAGAGTCTTTTCACAATCTATTTAGTGCCAGGTTTTTTGCCCTTGGTGTTTTTTGGTGACTTCATGGTTTAAGATGGACCCTAAATGTAGTGCTGAAGTGGTGTCTAGTGTTCCTAAGGGCAAGCTGGCCATGCTGGGCCTTTCGGAACAACAGGAGTAAGATAAGCTTCATTCGGGCTTCTGTTACAGAGTACTACAGCTGGCCATTGAGGTCGATGTTAATGAATCAACACTATACCCTAAATGAGGTGTCTTTAAACAGAAACACACATAAAGCAAAGTTAGGTAACTGATTGATTAATGAAAATGTGATCAGAGGCTTGCAGGAACCTAATCCTGTATTTCCTCTAGGAGCAACAGTTCAGTACTGGCTAAATTCCAAGTCCTAGTGACTTTATGGAACACGACTACTTTGAATAGGGAGAACCAATTCATCGCCAACGGTGGCACATTTAGGTGTTTGCTTTAAGGGTGGTAAGGATTTTGCAAACAGACCAAATTATTTCAAACCCAGTTCAGAGACTGAGTTCAACAATACATGAACAATTCTAAATAGGTTTAGACCAATAGGAACTGCTTTGGGGAAAATACGTTTGGATGTATATAGTCAAGTATATGGTCCTTTAAAAAGTCTTTAAACAACCAGAGATGACAGTTTCGTCAAACAAGCTTAGTTAGTATCGGAGCATTTAACTTGACATTTTCCCCAAACTAATCTAAATATGAAGTGTGCCTTTCCATGTGAGTTTGGGAGTTACACCCTTTAATATGAAATTAAATAAATTTTTTTTTTTTTTTTTTAAAACAGGGCCCTCAAACTCTTGCAGCCTCAAACCCTGGGGTCAAGCGATCCTCCTGCCTCAGCCTCCTGAGTAGCTGGGACTACAGGCATGTGCCACCATGCCCGGCTAATTTTTTCTATATATATTTTTGGTTGTCCAAATCATTTCTTTCTATTTTTTAGTAGAGACAAGGTCTTGCTCTTGCTCAGGCTGGTTTCGAACTCCTGAGCTCAAACAATCCGCCCGCCTCAGCCTCCCAGAGTGCTAGGATTACAGGCGTGAGCCACCGCGCCCGGCTTGAGATTAAATAATTTTTGCTACCAGTTTTAGCATGAAACACATCAGCACACACTCACATTGGTGAGGCAAATAAACACAACTGCTGCTCTGTCAGGGTGCACGATAAAGCACCGTAGAGGAAAAAAAGTGAGTGTACATTAATATCAAGTGAAAGCCTCATTTCAAATCCTCTTATGAAATAAGCACTGGGAAAATTATGAAGGAAGAGCAACATATGACATTAACAAGTATCTTTAATCAAGATCGTTGATAGATTTCTAGGAAGCAAACTACCCATGACAATCTTCGGAGTTTTCTTTACAAAGTTTAGTTTAACACATTATTTCTGGTGGTGGGATGTTTTTATTTGCTTTCTTCTTTGTATTTTTTTTCTTTACAATGAGCATGTATCATTAAAAAAATAGCACCATACTATTAAAGAGTAAAAAAGATCTATTTCTGCATCAAATCAGCCATTACTCCATCACATGAGCACATCAGGTTTTAGATGTCACCACACACTGCAGTTCACACTGGAACTGGCGGGTGGCAAGGCTGTGGCATGCTCACTGTGTCCCTGCCCGAGCACCAGCGGCCAAGCTAAGCCAAAAGTAGAAGGCGTTAGTTACTTAGGTAACATCCACAGCACCTGCGAATACAAAACTGGCAGGTCAAGAGCCACCACTCGCTGAGCCACTGGTTAGCTCTGAGAAGACATTTGTTGCATGTTTCAATCAGAGACTAGCTTATACATAAAATTACAGGTTTACTGGATCATACTGTACTTTTATGAATAAGCTCATTTCTGACTGGCTATAGGACTTTTAAAAACTAAATTATTCAACAGATAGTCATCTGTTTAGCTAAAGCAGTAGTCCTGGAAATGAATTCAAGACTTTCGGACTCCCAAGACGGCCTGCACCAGTCTCTCCCATACTTACCGATTATTGTACGTGAGTTTTGTTTTGATGGGGGGATGCTGATGTTCTTACGTAGCAGAAAGAACATCTCAGGTTTGTGGGCGAAAAAAGCCAGACTTGTTTTTCTTTTTCTACCTTTCTGTTACAACTGATATTTTGATCACTTATATAAAAAACTTTATACTTTTAGAATTAAAAAATAAAAAGTAGAGATAAAGAAATGCTTAGGAGACCACCCCTGAGTAAAGACACAGAATTGGTCTGCCTGGGCTGGCAAAAAAAGGCGATGGTGAAGACAATCATGTCAGACATTAAGGAACTGGAGTTCCAATCGTTTCATGAGAAAGGCCACCAGGACTACCACAGCTCAGAGGCTTTCTGTAAACTTCTAGGACCTCTATACTACGTTTTCTAGAAGTAACAGGACTTCTCTTTGTGCCGTACGCAAAACCATCAAGGAGTTTCCCTGGGCTAGAGCCTGAGAAAGGGTCTCACCTGCCCACAGTGGAGCCCTCAAGTCCTACCTCCCACGGGCTCTAACAGGCTCTTGCATGCCTGGGTACCTTTCAGGACAGTTTTATTTGTTAAAGGAACTAAGGAAGTAGTCCGGCCAGGTGGGCTACTCACAAGAAACATACAACAGCAGCAAGGCCACTGGAAAAAAGGTAAGTGGTGATACTTTAAATACTGATACCGGAATTGAAGTCATCCCGGGAATCCCATCCACCTCTAGATTCTCGAGAGCCACCCATTCCTGAGGATACACAAAAAAGATAAAGTTGAGGTCGTATCATTACCTTGCTGCACAAACATGGAAAAATTCATTTGGAAGATGTATAACTCATGTGATGGGAAGTTCAATGAAATCACTGTAAGAGTTTTTGCTGAAAACAGAAAAAAAAAACCCCAGGCTTGCAGAAGCATCATCCATTCTTTCTTAAGATTTTATGCACATTTTTAAGAGCTCACAAGAACCTATTAGACCTATAAGGCAGAGTTCTACTAGTAATGTTCAAGAATCATAATCGGTGGGCATATAGCAAGTTTTTATGATGTTCAGTTTTAGAAGAACCAATCACCTCTGTCATCTGGTCCACCTTTTCTGAATCCAAAGCCACCTTTATCTTGTTTTCTGCCTTCTGCAATGTCCACACGAAGTGACCGATCACCCAACAGCTAATGGTAAGGGGAAAACAGTGTCAGTATTGGCAAGGCAAAGAATCTCAACTGCTAAATACAGAGAAAACCTGAGGATACTTACTGCACCATCATATGTCAAAGCTTCTTTGAGGGAATCCACCTCATCGAATTCTACATAGCAGAATCCTGTAAGAGAAAGCAAACTCCCAATTTCTCATGCAATTCTGGGTTAAAGACACAGTGCGATCCTCTCTATACTATTTCCCTACATCAGAACTACCATTTTTTGTTGCATCAAGATGACAGTAGACTAGTAGAGCCTGAAAGAACATATTTTACTTTCAATCAACAGAACTTGACTGGCATTCCTCCTTCTCAATTATGGTTTATCAGCCAGAAAATGCTAATCAGACATGCACGGAAAGAGCAGCTGTGTTTTTATAAAGCTTTCTTCTTGTATGTTTTAACCATAACAATAAAAGCTTTCTTCAGTCACTGCAGAGCTGTTCTGACTTCTGAATGACTTTATTTATACAAATTTGATACCTAAAATGCTCTGAAGAGACTCAGGGTGTCTACTAACTTACTACTCAGGTAGCTGATATAAAATTTGCTTCACAAAGCTAAAAATATATCCTCAGCAACAAGACCGGGAGGGGTGGGGAACCTGCAGCCTCAGGGACACATGTGGCCTTCTGGATCTTTGAGTGTAGCCTTTTGATTGGATCCAAATTTTATAGAATAAATTCTTTTAATAAAGGGATTTCTTCTGTGAAGTCTGGATTCAGTCAAGGGGCCACACGTGGGGACCTGGAGGGCTACATGTGGCCTTGAGGTTGCAGGTTCCCCACCGCCCTAGGTCCAAGCATATGTTACTGACAACCTGTGTCCCTGATGCTGGATTCTGACATTGCTCCTTCCTTGCTGTCTGGAGTCTTAATCTGGGTTACATATTCCTGTACCCCGACATATACTCACATGGTACCTACACCCCACCCAAGTATCCTTATCCTATATCATAACTACACTTCATCTTTGAAGCCCGCTAGACCGCAAGTGCTTTGAAGCCTTGAGTTCAAACTTCCCCTTTTGCCATTGTGTAAAGAATGTCCTACCTTGGCTGGAGGACCACCCCCCACCCCCCCTCAGCGTTCTTCCCTGGGTGCATTCAATGTTGAGACTAATTGAGAAAGCCACTTTCAAATTCCATAAAGGCAACAACAGCCCAATCATGCATCTCCTACTCTAGAGCTGCTCAGTTGAAGATGATCCTCTATGAGACAAACTCCAACACCTGGGGCTACTGATCCCACCCAAAGACTGGGTTCACCCACAAATTTTTACACAAAGTCTGAATTTCTAATGCTTGCTAGCAAGCAAACTGGTGGAAAGCAAACTTACTTTCACAAGCTTAATGATTTATTTTCATTGTTTATGTATATATACGGCTTCAGGTTCTAAAGTCTGAAAGATTAACACCACCTATACACAAAACCACTCAGAGATCAGCAACAGTTTCTCTGCTTCGTGTACAGCTCCCCACCATAAGTCACTCTTGTACCTTTCATGGATATACTTTTGGAATAATGTAAGCCAAGCATCGTGCACTTAAATACTGGGTGCACTTTCCTTCAGGAAACCTTGAAAACAGGATAATGCTTACCTGATCCTTTATTCTTACTCCTCTCTGCTCAAGCACCCTACAGAGACACCTATCTATAGATGCTAAATCTGAAATTTGAGCCAACCCTCCCCAAACACATGCTCTGAATTTACAAATGTACACTGACAATGCTAGTTATCTTTTGGATTTTATAATAACTGGATTACAAGAAAACTACAAAGAAAATCTAAGAATCAGTCAAGCTGACATGTGCCTTTAAAGTCCTTAGTTCTGTCCATTTCATTCCTGGGCAACTCCTTTAATGGCAGAGACAGGACTGCTATAAAGGTAAGGCAAACAAACCTGGGCATATGCCATTATTTGTACAAACTGGATTGTGTATAAAACATTTTCCCCCAAGTGGACTGAGGACCTATGAGTTAAAGAGTTAATGTGAATTTCAGCTGCTTGGACCAAGCAAACATTTAAAGCACTTTCATGATTAGAGCCTTCTGGTTCACTAATCCATTTTCATTTAGATGCCCCCCCAACCCTTTACAGTAATATACAACAAGAATTCCCCAAAACTCACCTTTAAATTTGTCTGTGTCTTTGTCTCTGACTAGCCGTACACTCCTTATGCTGAGATCCTTAAAGATAGCGTCTATGTCGCCCTGAACCGTATTAAAAGGTAGATTTCCTACATATGCTGTGTAGGGGGGCTCTGTGGGCAGCTCCTTCTGGCTACGGGAGCCATGGCCACCAGCACTGCCACGGGACCTAGGAGGGGAGACAGACAGGATTCAAGTCTGCCCGTGTGTTCCTGTCCCAGAGCAGGACAAGCCAAATAAGCAAAGATGTCCTCCACTCAGCCGCGTCAGCCAGCACCGGCACCCCAGGTGTTACACTCCACTCTAATGTACAGGAACAGCTTCTTGAAATTTTAAAGATTATAAAATATCATTTATCAGAAAGGTACCTATTTTTTGGTGACAAAAAACACAGAATGTAAGTAAAAATGTATTTTTGAAAAATCAAATCCAAACATATATTCTCCTAAGCAACTGGTTTTCTCCTAGTCATCCAGAATCTGTATCTGCAAAGTACTGATGTCCTCAACCTAACCAAATACCCTCCCTTACATACAACAGTACTAAGAAATACAGAAATGGACTGTCTGGTACATTGCATTCAGGAGGGATCACTGAAGTTAAGTTTAATACATAATACAACTGGTTCTCTCTTTTGCCTTACTATGGGCAATAAGAATGTCCTAACAAAAACTCTGGCTGTTGTGCAGCAAGTGCTATGTGCATACTACTCTCCATTCCCCATGCAATACTTTGCTGTGGCCTTAAACATACGATGTGTGCTGCTAACCATCTAGACCTCAATGCCATTTCCTCTGTCAAGTGTTGTTTACTTTGCAGAGGTATTGGTTTAAATCCCAGCTCTGCCACTAACTAGCCATATGACCTCGAGGAGTCACTCAACTTCTCTAAGCTTTATTTTATTTGTAAAATTGGGTTAACTCTAACACAGACCCTGAATTATTGAATAATAACACATTAAATGTAACAGTGCTTCATACGGTGTACTTATGTATAGCAGCAATCACACTATCGCCTCCGACTGCAACCTGAGCTTATTAAAAATATAATTAAAGGCCGGGCGAGGTGGCTCACGCCTGTAATCCTAGC